GTTCTGGGAAGTCGAAGAGCACGAAGTGGCCTACAGTTGGTTTCGGGCATTCAAAATGTGGCCCGGCAATGGAGTTCTGGGATGTCGAAGAGCACGAAGTGTGTGACTGTTTGGTTAAAACGAGCCCGGCCCTGAGCCCGGCCCTCGCTGTCCGGGTGCCGCCCAGACCTCCCTTTTGAGTCATCAGATGCTTTCTTTTGACACCATTAGAAACCTTTCAGTCTTCGCTGTTCGGTAGTTACGTGTCGCAAGGATTTTCAAACCGAGTGCCCCGAAAACGAAGTAGCCGCATTGTTTCGCAACGTGAATGTTCAAAAGAGCCTGCGCTTGCTCCTTTGCGAATGGTTCAGGTAGCCGCATGTCTTTCAACGTGTTCATCGCGCGCGACAACAAGTCCCTCGCGCGCGACTGCCAGAATCATTCGAACGCCTTCGCACGTGCGTTGGGAGAGAGGGTGCGATGCCTTTCGCGCGCCCTTTCTTTTGGGGGGGCGCGATCCCTTCCGAGTGGTATCGTGCGGGGAGATGCGCTGACGAGTCCTTCGCGGTCACCGCCACCGCGGCCGCGTCGGTCGCGCCGGACTAGCTGGTCGCTTTGCGCGCGAGCTTGCGCGCGCTAGCGCGGCCGCGGCGACGCGCCAGCCAGCGCCAAGCACCATTCGCAATCGTCGCCGCGTGGGTTTTGCAGACCAGGTTACGAGTGGGTGGGCGGGGTAATTGCGCGAACAATTGATTCACAATTGACTGCAGTTTTTTGTTGCGCCACGTAGACTGTGCCAAATATGTTGCCCAATGTGTTCATGAATGCAGCGATTCCTCGCTGCCCCTGGAGCGGGCAAGGCGCGCCGCGACGTGGGTGCGCAGACGGGGCCAGAGGCAGGGGGCAAGGCCGACGCGTCTCGTGCGACCTCGGCCGCCCCGCCCCTCGCGCCCTGGGCGGCGCGCGCCAAGGCCTGGGCCTGCGCGGTCTGGGCGAGCCCGGCGGCCCCCGATCTCGCGGGGGTCCGCCGCGGCGAAGGGCGTGCCTGGGGCGCCGTCGCCGGGTGCATCGGCGGCTGCCGCTACTTCCGCGGGGGCCGCCTCCGCCGCTTCGCCTCGGAAGACGAGGCGATCTCGGGCTGCGTCGAGGAGGCCGCCCGCCGCGGCGCGCCGGCGCCCCCGCCGCTCCACCGCTGGCGATGATGGCCCTCGAGGAGGACGTCTTCGACGCGGGCCACGGGGGTGCGGAGGGCCCCGAGGCCTAGTTCGAGCTAGCCGTGCCCCGTGCGGTGTGCGGCCGCCTCCGCTCCTGCTGCCCGCTCCTGCCGTCGGCGCCGCGGGTGGGGAGTTCGGGTTCCTGCGGCTGGTGGCCCGAGCCGATGGCCGCCCTTGGGGCCGCCCCCTCCGAGATGCTGGCAACCCTGACTTCCTTGCAGGGCGCGGGGCCCGACCTCGAGCCGTCGGGTGGCTTGTCCATGCGGGGGGGCCCACAGCTGGGGCTCGGGGCGCTGCTCGGCCCTCCCCTGGCCCCCGGGCTGCAGCCAGCGGCCGCCAGGGTTGGGCCCCCCCCCCGCGGGCCGACGCTCTCGTGGAGGCGCGGGGGCCCGCTGCCGAGGTGGAGGAATTGCAGAGGCAGCGCGGGGCCTTGCAGGCGGAGGCAGCGGGCCCAGCGCATCCGACCGCGCCGCGCCCGCCGACTGCCATGCCTCGCGGGGGTGGGCCCGTCGGCGACGCGCGGCCTGGCGCCGGTGGTTCAGGCGCGCCGCGCGGCCCTCGTCTCGCAGCTCCAGCGCTGGCTGGCGGGCTGCGGCGGCCCCTGCTGGGACCTGTGCATCCTGGTGGACCTTGCGACGGTGGGCCGCTACTTGGCCAAGCACGGCCAGTTTTTGTGCGAAACGATGAGGAGCCGCCGCGACTTCGACGAGACGATCAACGCCTTGGCGGGCGTTAGCCGTGCCCTCGGGCACCACGTCGACGCGGCATGGGGCATCTCCTTCACGTGGAAGCACCTCGCGCCGGGTTGGAACCACCAGGCGATGCCGGTGGCGCTCCTGCTCGCGCCCTTGAGCCTGGCACTGGCCTGGGGCTGGATCGACGTGGCCGGCTGCCTGCTCCTGGGCTTCTTCGGCATGATGAGGCCGTTCGAGTTCCTGAGTCTGAGGATCGGGGACTTTGTGCTCCCCTCTCGCTCGCTCGAGCGGTTGCAAGCGAGGTGCGCGCGCGTCGGCGCGCCAAGAATGAGACGTTTGGGCGCACGCCGTGAGCATATCATGATTGATGTTCCCCAAGTTGTGCATTTCTTCGGGGCCCTCTCTCTGCGGCCTTCCCCTCTCTCTGCGGCCCTCCCCTTGCCGCCCCCTTCAGGTTTTGTCTGGATTATCTCATGGATTTTTTTTCGGAATTGTGTATTCGGACAAGGTAGGCATCGCTCCCGCGCCCCTCCGCCCAGGAGGGGCCAGTTTTGTCGCAGGGTCACAGATTCGCCGGACTGTGTTCGCTACAGAGGTATCGGTGGCTTTCCAATCGTATGCTAGAGATCTATATCCACGAGGTTGGCGCTAGCAGCAGGCTTCTCGCCGACCTCCCAGATCCCCTCCGTAGTAAGATCCGGCTTTTCGCGGAGGCTGCTGGCGACCTTCTCCTGATGGCCACCTGGCAGCTTCTGGCTTCGAGTCGTTTGCCAAGGCCGAGCGACGGCGGATCCCGCCCTTCCGGCCCCCGAGCTCGTGTTCCGCCGCCACTGCGAACGAAGCTCATCGGTGCCCGCTTCGCTCCTCCCGCTCCCGCCCGTTCTTCCGCCATGAGCGGTTGTGGCTAGCGGGGCCGGCCGAAACCGTGGCCGTCCCCCCTTTTCATTCCCCAATCAGAGCTTGCCTCTGTAGGGGTCCTAGCGGATCCATATGGTTAGGTGAGGTGCGGCGCCGATTTGGTGGCCGGCGGCCGGGTGCCCGGGTGCCCGGGTGCCCGTGGATGCCTGGTGTCCCAGGATTTTGGTGGCTGGTGGCCGGGTGCCCGGGTGCCCGTGGGTGCCCGGGTGCCCGGGTGCTCGGGGGTGCCCGGAGCTGGCCAGGGGTGCCCGGGTACTTTATAACCATGTAGCCCTATAGCGTTATAGCTCTATAGCCCAATAGCCCAACAGTACATATAGCCCATGTGGCGTTATAGCCCAACAACCTTATAGCTTCATAGCCCTATAGCCCTATTTTCCTATAGCCCCTATAGCCCCATAGCCCACTAGCCCTATAGCACTATACCCCCATCGCCATATAGCCCTATAGCCCCATAGCCCTATAGCCCTGTAGTCCTATAGCCCCATAGCCCCAACAAGAAACGGATTGGGGTTATTCTCTGGTATCATATAGTTTTCAGAGGCAGTGGTGAGCCTGGAAAAGCGCATCGGCCTTGGGATTTTGAGGAGCTTTTCAGCAGAGGAATGGCATCGCTGAGTGCAGCGATTCCTCGACGCGCGGCGGCTTTGGCTTCGAGCTCTCCGGAACCCGCCCTCCCCTTGGCTAGCGGGGCCAGCCCAAACCGTGGCCGCCCCCCCCTTTTCATATAGTTTGCAGAGGCAGTGGTGAGCTTGGAAGGGTGCATCGGCCTTGGGATGTAGATTTTATAGTTATTACTATTATTATCATTATTAATATTGGGATAATTAACAGCATTATTCTTCTTTTTATTCTGATTCATAGTAACATTATCAGGTGGATGATGATGTTGACGATTCTGATTATGGTGATGATGATGATGATGATGATGAACATTATTATCCTTATTCTTATTGCTTTTACATATGCATATATATATATATATATATATATATATATATATATACACGCACGCACATGCAGATATTGCGCCACGTATATGGCTAGAAACACATTGCTCGGTGTCCACGCTGGCTAACCTGTTAGGACCAAAAGGAACTTGCGAACGACTAGGGATGGGTGCCGCGTGAAAAGGGACTGTCGGCCCCCTTGTTTCCCTCCACGCTTTTTTTGTTGTCATTTTCATCAATAAAATTGGAGGAAGTGAGAAGACAATGACTTATTTCCCTTATTCCATCTATGCATCCCTCCTCCTTTCTCCCCTTGCTTTCCTCCCTCCCTTTCCCGCCCTTTCCCACCATAGTCCAGTCATAACCGGTCTCCGGCCAGATCCCACGCGCCACCCTTGCCTGTGCTCCCAGCTGCGTCCGGCCGCGGCGACCAGGGGGGGGGCGTGAAGGCCTGGAAGGCCTAGAGGGCAGAGGGGAAGACGGGGAGAGATACGAAGAGGACAGCAAAAACGCCGAGAGAAGGGACAGTTTGGATTCGGAGGGGGCTCGATGCTCCTTACGTCCTTCTGCGGTTGTTCCTCTAGCCCTTCTCGTGCGCCCAGGCTTTTTTGAAGCCGCAGAGGGGTTTCGTTCCTTATTTAGCGTTCCTTATTGCAGCAACCCGACTGTATAAGGGCCCGCCCTCCCTTCCCTCCCTCCTTCCCTCCTTCCCTCTCTACATCTCAACCGTTTCCGCGGCCCTTCCGCAAGGGCGTGGACAGCCGCCGTGGCCTTAACCCCCCAAAGGTGCTGTCCCCCTCTGGGGAAAGGGCGGCGCGAGAAGAGCGGAGATGGATCGCGCCCTGCGCGGTTCGAGGCGCGACACTGGGCGACCCTGGTACCCGGAGGCTCCCCTCCCCCCGCAGGCCCAGTCAAGAGCAGCGCGAAATTGGGTGACATAGGTTCCCAGAGAACCCCCCACCCTTTGGAGGCGTGGCCAAAAACACGCCAGAACATCGATCTTCGAGACTGGGCCACGAGCGCTGCT